CCTCAAACAACCTATGTGTATGATATTGAAAAAGACGAGTGGACAGACCAGAAATCGCTCACACTGGTCATTCATTTTTAGGACTGTTTGGTTTTCTTCCACCACAGAGATCTGGTTGGATCATTGAGTGAGATCAAGAGCCTCCGTCTGCTGCAGCTTCCCCTCCGTATGCTTTTATAGACGGGCTCTGGGAAAGGATGAGGGTGACGTTGTCTCTCTCACTGCTCTACATTTTTCTGACCCTCAGTACGTCTCCACCTCGTCCCCATTTCTCTCACCTTTTCTGAGAAAGTTCGTGTTTTTTATTGCTGACATTAACTTTCTGTAGCTACTCGAGCCTGGATGACATTTATCCTTAATTTTATGTTCACTCGATTTTTCACTTTGAAACTACCCGAAGGTTGTATTTAGAAGTTTGTATTTTAAGCGGAGCAACCCTGGGACAAACTTTTTAACAAATAAGCCAATATTAAACAAATTTAAACTCTCATACATAAATGCAGAGTTTAAGTTAACTTGTGCTGTGGTTGTAATTGTTATCTAGTGTTCCTCCTTGCAATGAAAGACCCCTGAATCAATTTGAGCAGTGCAGCAGGTTCCAGTTGGAATCACAGAATTCACCTTTAATAGTGAAAATGTTTGATTAAAAAAAACAGAAACAAACACCTCATTTAAAATGTATTTAAAGTGCGTGACCATAACTTATTCAAATAACTTGAAGCGTGCTTTGTTGTATGTTTTATTCATTGTTGTCCTTGTTTTTAAGTGCTTTGTGTGTTTTTATGAAGTGTGCTGTGCTATATGTGCAGTATTGTTGTTCTTGTTAATGTATGTTATGTGTCTTCTGTACTGGTCGACCGATTTGTGGCTAAAACAAAGAAAAGTCATGAATTATTCCGTTATTCCAGGTACAGTACAATGTTAATGTGCGCTGTCCCTACAACTTTAAACTGTGTAAATAAATAAAAATTAACCTTCATACCTCCTCTTTTTCCGATACCCTCCAATCCCTGGGTGAGTCTTACAGTAACTTCCAACACAACCACAGATTATATAGTTTCACATGAATTATTGTATCTTTTCCTACAGCCTAAACTATAAGATCATTATATCACTGTAAAAAACAAAAACTGAGAAAACTAATAATTTCAAGGCACCTGTCTTTTAAATCAAACTAAAAAACTCTTAAGTGTTCAAATGAACAAATAATAAAAGAGGTTACGTATATATTTCTGTGTCTGTATTTCTGTTACTGAAGAGAGATCAGCTGACCTCTGTCGGCGTCTGTTAACCCCTTCCTTACTATTATAATGGTTATGATAATGATAATGGCTTTTGAATAGGCCCTTCTGCTTGATCTGACTGAAGAACGGCTTTTACATGCATATTGTTTCAGAGGCCTGATTTCTTTGTGTGTTTTGCGTCTGTGTGTGTGTGTGTGTGCTATTGATTAAACTGTTAATGTTCAGCCATAAAGCTGCCAGTTCAATGCTGTTTTTCTCTCTTGTAGTTATTGGTTCAGGCACCATTTTGGCAGTTTATGGCCTTCGTGCTTCATCTCTCTTTTTCCTTTTTTCTTCCAGCCAGACAAAGAACACAGCTCCTCACTTACTCATTCAATAAATCACACACGTGTGTAACTCATATGTGTGTCTGTGTTCGATGGCTGCATTCACACGAGCAACAATTACTGTGGAAACAATCAATATCACTAAGCGTCTACATGTAACTGATAGCTGACGCATTGATTTGCACCTTGACACCATCGTCTGACCACCACCGAGGGTGAAAAATGTATTTATTTATTTAATTCAATATTATTAATGATTAAAATAGACAAGCAAAGAAAAATTAAATATTTTAATTAATCAGATAGTTTGTGTTTATAGCTATTTTTACTCCACTGTTGCTTTTTCTATTTTTTAGTTTTTTCTATTATCCTATGCTGTTTAATGGTTAATTAGTAATTATAATTAGTAGTTTACTTCCTTTTTCTCTGTAGTAGGTCAAACTGATAATGAGGTGTTATGTGTGTTCGAATACTTGCATGGACCACGTTTGAGACCTGAGTGAGTCCTTTATGGGGGAAGATCAACACGTCTGTCTCTGCTCAAAGATAGTCTTTGGCACCAGATGGCTGCCGGTCATATTTAGGACACATAATGACAATTAAAGCCACCTTTGTCCTAGATTACACCTCTATGTAAAGTATGTAAAAAGCTTTTAAAATCTGCAGACATTTTCTATAGTGAAAAGCTGAGATAAACTACAAACATTCATTATTGCTTCCTCCTTCCAGATGACACAGGAAGTAGTTTTTAGACCTGGTGTGCTTTAGGTCAGACTTTCTTCTAGGTTTAGAGAGAGATGTTTGGTGTCAGGTTGGTGCTGTTGATCATAGCTCAAGTCTTTATGCTGTGCAGCTTGTTAAATGTTTTATTTAAGCCCACCTAAAAGTATAAACAATAACCAAAGAGGAAGTTAGATGAGGTGGCAGGAAGCAGCGTGGGATCATGGGAGTTGTTGTCTTCACCACCATTGGCGTCATTGCAGTCAGCTTCTCCTTGGTTAGGATTCCTTCAGTGTTTTCATGGTTCAGAGGGTTTCTACCCAAGGAGTCCGCAATTATCCCAGAGTCTCCTCTCTCTCCAAAACAAACAGACCCTGTGATTAAAACCGACTAAAAACACAATGAATATGGTGACGCAGGCACAAAAGGGGAAATATGACGCCATTGACAGGCGAATGGTGAAACGGGCGTGTTACGTGAATAAAATGAAAGAATTTCTCTGAGTTTGAAGCATTGTTGGAAGCATTTGGGATAACCTGTCTACAACTCAAAACTTTATATAGAACATAGAGGCCAGAGCTTATACACTGTTTAATGAGGAAATGATTACAGCTTTAATGAATAAATATAACAGTAAATTCACTTTCATATTGTAACAGCTGACGTATAGAGAGACAGTGGAAAGAAATAGTCACTGAGATATAAACTCAACCCCTAAAGATAAATATGCTCTCAGTTTTTTGTCATCATGTCGTGATCCTTGTAAAACACGCTCTCCAAATCAGTCTCACAACAAATCCAAACAGACTCTTTACTATGATTTTGGCAGAAGAAATTATTCACGAGTGTGTGTGTGTGTGTGTGTTTATGTGAGTGTGTGTGTGAATCCATCCTTCAAGCATAGTTACATAACAGGGTGGAAATACAGAGCGGATTACATAAAGCTACCCCTATATGTGTCTGTGTGTGTGTGTGTGTGTGTACTGGAGTGTATCAGCGTACCTCAGAGTGTGTGATGGAGCACGACGGAGGGAACACGGGGTCATGCACAAACAGCTGTTGGAGCATTTCTCTCTAATTACCAAAATGTCCGCCCTCGTGACGTTAGATTAAAACCACAAGAGAGAAAATCAAGTCTTCCTCCTCGTGCGTCCACCCCTACGTCTCCATAGCCTCGCCACGCCGCCGTTACGCCATCGTCCTCTACATTTCCCCCCTCATCCACCACTCTAGCTTTTCTGTCCCTCCTGCCATCCATCATCCCTCTCTGTCGCTGCAGGCCGGTCTCTCTTTCATCCCTCCATCTGACCCCCTCCTCCACTATTTGTCTGGAGGAAGAGAGGAGGGGCGGAGCAGACCGGAGAGGAGATGAGAGGAGCGGTTGCAGCAGGGCCCATATTAAATTAGACGAGCGGTAATGAGATTAAAAGCCGTCCATGTGGGCATGTGTGTGATTGAAAGAGAAAGTATAAAATGTGTGTGTGTTTATTTGCACAGACAAAAATCTGATATGAGCGTGGGGGTGTGTGGCGTTTTGGGTACCAGCTACATTCTGATGTTAATATACGAGCTGTATGTGGCCCGCTGGTGTCTGTGAACTCTGCAGAGAAACACACACAAGTCGCCTTTAATTATAACCGGATTGGGGGTGAATTTTCAGCAGCTGGATTTTTTTTTATTTTTCGGGGGGGCCACAACTTGTTCTGATTGTCTTTGAAGAGCGACTGTGAGGGCAGCGGCTGCAGCTCCCTCTCCTGCCGCCAACATGAATACTGCAATTATGAAGATTGGCAGAAGGACAGGAAGAAAGCGCTAACACCCTGCCACCATATTTGCATATCCACGGTCAGGTTCCAAACTGCTTTTTTCAGCCTTTTCCTTGAAGTCTACTCAGTGCTGCGCGCCATTATCTGCCGGAAGAATCAAAGGGGAAACTAACTGTTAAAGTCACAACTTGTCTCTTAATATCCTGCACTCGACTTCGACTGTTGAGACCTCTGCTCAGGTCATGGTGGTTGAAGCTGTGCTGCTCAGACCAGATTTCACCAGGGGAAAGGTCCTGCCATGGTTGTGGCACTTTTTCCACAAATGTCAAAATGAAAGTGAAGTGAAATCTATTCCAACCGCACTGTTCCAGTAGCGTTGATGGTGTAATTTATCCCACCCAGCAGGTGTAGTGAGAGCAATGTCAATCAAACTGTGTTACAAGAGAAAAGGTCTGTGTTGCAACAATCCTCTGATACTTCGGTCTCGGTGACAAAGGCGCAGCTCCTGAACATTTTGGTTTTTCTGTGACGAGCTAACTAATTAAAAATTGGGTCGACTCTTCTTCTTGACTAGGTCGACGATTGGGGGCAGCCCTAGAAATTGGGACACCTTTTCATATAATGTTAGTCCCTCCCTTTTCCCCATGGTTGGTCAAGTTCTTGCCAAATCAGTTGTCAATCTCTGAGCTGTCTACCTGCAAACAGCATCGGTCCCAGTTCTGCTGCACATTATGCATAACTGTTTTTTCTTGCTGCTTTCCACCCTTGTTGTTTCTATATTGCCATACAAGTTAAGGATTGTGGCTTACGTTTGGTTTTCAGAGATGGTTTTGTTGCCACTGCCTTGCATAAACATAGAAAGCAAGTCCATGTTCTCAAATACACAATCAAACTAAAAAGAATTATATCCAATGAATCACTCTACTGTTGTGTGTTTACGGCAGGTCAACCAGGATAATGTGGTGAAGGTGGGCCACAGGCAGGTGGTCAACATGATCCGCCAGGGAGGCAACCGGCTCCTGATCAAGGTGGTGACAGTGAGCCGGAATCTGGACCCTGAGGACACGGCACGCAAAAAAGGTACAGCAGCTGCTAGATTACACGTTTAAGAGTGCTACATTAAAGAAAATCTAGAAACGGAGTGAGATAGTCCTTCCCAACACAAAGCCAAACGTGGATTCGAAGATAAAGTAAGGACGATGAGCTTCTGGTGTGGAGCAGCAGGACACAGCTGTGCACTGTGTGTAATAAAATGGTGTGAAAACCCTTCTGCTGTAACAGTTGTCCCTCCTGTATTAAAATACCAAAGACTGCAGTAAAGCAGTGTGCAGACTGATGATGTGTTACGTAATAATATCCCTCAGAGGCAGCAAGGAACCTGACTTACTCCATGTTCACAATGCAAACAACAAAAATAACACAGCACCAGAAGGTCACATGTTTCATACAAAGCTGCTGGCTGTCAAAAGTCAGCTGCGAACAGTTTTTTGGGGAGGATTAAGACAGCGTAATTATAGCCTGTTGGTTGTTAGATTATCAGAACTGAACAATTCAAAACTTCACACACTGAGAATTAAAGGGAGCCTATGGAACCGGACACAAGTGAGAATTACAGTACGAAGGGAAATGCTAAAACACAGTGTAACATTAGCAGAAAGTGAAGAATTAAGTGTGTTATTCAGCCATTTCTACCTAAAGTTTGCCAACATTAGCTATGTAACATTAGTCTACAGCACCGGACGTACAAGACCAAGTAAAGCTGTTGCAGTGAAACCCGTGGGTGTATTAAAAAGAGCGAGGGTGGGTTTGTGTTATTTCTTTTTACAATCTTTGTCTCAATTCAAAGCTTGAAATCACATTTTCCTTCCCAACACCAGTTTTCTACGGCTTTACCCAACTCAGAATTATGTCCATATGTCAAATCAGATTGGCTGTTCACTATAAAGATTCGACTATTTGTTCCTGTGTTTGTAAGTTCTGCACTACACTTAACTCCTCCACCTGCAGTTCCTGTGGTAGAGAGGTGGCTACACATGTGTTATCCTACCTCACATTTTAACGCCTGTCGTCATCATTGGTGATGTGAAAGCATCAGATTTCCTCCAACAGGGAACCGTCTCCGGTTCAAGCACCTAGTTTTTAACCACTTCACACTTTACTAAAGCAAAATATAACTCATGTCACAGTTCAGAGCGGTTGCTGCTCTCTAATTCATGAACACAGTGTATGAGAAACTGTAAAGCCACTTTATCTCTGAATAAAACTAAATGACGTGTGTATTTTATGTGTCTCGCTGTGTCCCTCAGCTCCTCCACCACCAAAGAGAGCCCCCACCACAGCCCTGTCAATGCGCTCCAAGTCAATGACCTCCGAACTGGAGGAACTCGGTAAGAACTTCCCGGTTTGACTTCTACTCAGGATGTCATTAGGAAGTCTGTGTCTAACAACAGCTCTCTCTCTGTTTTTGTTCTTCTTTCTTAATCTCATTGATTGTTTAATCTCTCAATAGTGGATAAAGGTAAGCAGTTAATGCTGCATAACCTTTTGCCATCCATTTTGCTTAACTGCAACATCCATCGGCTCACACCGGCTGAATGAAGCTTTTTTTTGGCTAATGCAATTTAAGTTTCATCATTTGATCACTTTGCTTTGAAGTTTTGTTCTTTTTTTCTGCTTTCCCTCCCTCCTCATCTCCTGTCCTCCTTTGCCATTATGCATGAAGGACTCTTACTTCTAAAGATCCCCGCACCCATGAGCTGTGGCTGTGGCTACAAGGAGCAAATAAGCCAAAAATATGATATTAGTGTGATAGTATTATCTTTGTTTCCTTGTTGTTATATCTCTGTGTGTCTGTGTCTGTGTCTGTGTGTGTGTGTGTGTGTGTGTGTGTGTGTGTGTGGTCAGTACCACTTCGAGGACCCTCGTTCTATTAAAAGTGCCCTCCTAATACCTTCTGACAGACAGGGCAGTCAGCGTTTCTGAGGCACACGAGCAGAGGGAGGCCACATTGGTGCTGAACAGGCCTAAGAGGGGAAGGAAGGAAGGAGGGATGATAGAAGGAGGGAGGGAGGGAGGTGTGAAGGCAGCACTGAAGGGAGGAAGCATGTGAGATAGAAGGCGATAGACCGGTTGACAATCCTACGCCGCTGTTAAGATAATTTGAACTATCAGAAGTAAGATGTTATAAGAATAACCTCTAGAATCTGCGCCCTACTGTGCATTTAGAGCTCTTTCTGGTGGAGCGGGACGTCCGCCCGCTGAGCACCGTGAATCATCAGGAGTGACGAGTGAATTTTAAATCCTTAATTACAAACCAGAGTGCCGACTCTTTTCCATGGATCTGACACTATGTTTATTCTCCATATGCCTGCTCACCTGAACTTTGCCCTCCGCTACATAAGAGTAGTTAATATTATGGATATCATTTGGATTGTGATATTAAAGATAAAATAATAGGTTCCCAGGCAGCATGGAAAACCTGGAATACAGAGACTAGTTTTCCAGTCATGGAAACACCTAGAAATTGATGTCTAAATATCCTGGATATGTTGTCCTGGAAAAGTTTAATTATATTAAATTATATTCCAGCCCCTCACTTGATCGACCACGTAAACCTGGGTGCGTATTTTGTTTAAACTCGACTATTTGGCTACTAGTCTAGACTACTATGGAGCGCAATATTATACTTCAAAGCGGGTTTAATAGACGTGGAGTGGAACAGACTGACCTTTTTGCCTTTGAGTCATTGATGTTACAGTTCGAGGAAAACTAGTAAAACTGCTGGAGACCGCAGTGGACACTCCACGAATGCGAGTCAATATTAGGCCTACTGGTAAATTATATGATCCTATGTGCTGTCCTGTATTGTCAAGAAAACCTCTTAATGATTTCTTAAAAAGAGCGGGAACCCTCTAATATCTCTTTTCATTTTCATTTCTAACTTCACTATTATGTTAAAGTTTTAAAATTCAACATAGTTTCACTCTATACTTTTCTCTCACAAGGGGAGCCTGTCCCACAGTTTTAGAACCACTGGTGTAAAGAGAGTGAACAGTGAGGCTGTTGTCAGTGAAATAAAGTTGCACTCGATTATATGTATGTATCCTTTCCCAGTGAATCCCTCATGCTTACAGTAGGCAGGCGATCTAAATCCAGTACGGGAATGGCGGTCTCCGCCACCACCAACAAAAATAAATATTTTATGTTGATTATTACTGAATGTATACACATGCAGAAAAAATGTTGACCATAAATATCAAAAATGGGGGTTTAAGGATTCTAACTTTAACATCTCTTTTGCAAAACACAGAAAGAAACTACTTACTGCTGAAACAAAGAGTCGATTAATTAATTCGTCAAATGTGGGTTTAATTAAGCAGATTCACTGGTTCCAACTTTGCATACGTGAGTGTTTTGGTTTGTTTTATTGTAAATTGGACCACTGTTGGGACAACAAGCAATTTAAAGGTGTCACCTTGGGTTGTGGGGACTTTTTATGGACATTTCTCCCTATATTTCTTCATTATATCGATTCAATGGTTAATAAAGAATAAAAAAACAGATGAATCAGTCATAAAAACATCATTAGCATCAGCAGCTTGATCGGTGTTATACACTACAGGATCAATCATTAGTAATTACAGCTTTGTGCCCTGTGTCAAAGGTGTGCAAAGAGCAGGCAGAGAGATGAAAGGTGAATGAATAAATAAATGACAGGAGAGGGAATCCACTTATATTGCAGAAAATTGCTGACAGAAAAATACCTCTGGTCAGCATGTCTTTCCTGGAGCTGCTTATTTGACACATTTGCATTTCATTCTTTACTTGACACATTTATAGTAGTAATAGTATTGCTCGCTGTTTAGTCTGAAGAGCTTCCATAGGAATGTAAATGCGCACAACATCTGCAGCGGTAGGACAAATTTAAATAGATAAAAAATACACTGAGTGAATACTTTTTGCAAAAATTAAACAAAGCTACAATACAAGTACACTTCTGTTCATCTTGGGAGAAGTTTTGAGTCTGTTTTTGTGCTTTGAAGAATCTTTTTCTGTCACCCCTTTAAGCAACTCTAAGGAAAAAGAAAGGTGGTAAGTTGCTGTAGGCATGTTTAAATCTGATCCAGCATTTCCCCACCCCCGTGACTCACTGTGATTAACTAACACTGTTGTATATGTTGTAGATTTATTTGAATATTTCTAGAAGAATTTGATTTGTCTGATGTTTGACTTTCAGTGAAACCAAATGGCGTTACACCCGTAGTGTATTTGCATGATTTACAATGTGTTCTTTACAGATGTTTTGATCTTCACTGTGTTCTCAATGTTGTCAGTGCATGGTTTAATGTTGTAGTGATGTCAAACAGAAAGATGTTTAAACTCCTCTGACTCTTGTTCACAACCACAGATGATTTGTTTCTTCCTTTTTGACGTGGATGCCGAGTTTTCCAGTTATTCACTTTTGAGCAAAAGGTGTAGTTCACCTCAGAGTGCCTCCTAAACCCTTCACGTAGGCAGAATCTGCAGCAGCGAGCCCACATAATTTACTTTCTGGGAGAATTTCAAGCTTCAGATGCAAAGGAACATAGCTGCAGACCTTTAATGAGGGAGAACAGAGCATTTTACTGTGTGTGTGAGAGTGTGTGTGTGTATGCAAACAACAAAACACTGTTACTGTATGTCAATGTTTGTTCATTTTACCTGACCTAAAAAGGTTTGCTGTCATGTTTCTTCGTGTGTGCCTTATTTTTTTTTCTCCTGTGTTGCAGGACGTGTGTAACCGTGTATGTGTGTGAGTATGTGTGTGTGTGTAAGGAGGGGGAGGTTTATTCCAGGAAATGTTTCACTCACAGATAGGTTTCCAGGGCAACCGTGTTGCATGTTGTCTGATATGCTGTAGCTGCAGTCCAATTGGGAGACGGATTGGAGAGAGAGGAAATGTGCATTTTCTTCTGTTTTGTGTGTTTTTGTGTGTTTTTGTGTGTGTGTTTTAGCTCTAACTCTAGTTAAGGTCATTGACGCTCCTTTCCTCCCCTTTCCTCCCCTCCCCAACTCTCCCCTTTCCCCACTCCTCTCCTCTGTGTGTAGATGCGCAGAAGAAGAGGATTGTTTTCCAAGTCACTCTAAGTAATCACTCCCCCAAATGCATGGAAGCTTTCTACATCCCAGACAGAGCTAGCCAGGGAGGAGACCCAGTGTGAAAGGCTAGATCAGGGCTAGCATGTAGCTTCTCTGAGCAGAACCCTTTAGGTGGACTCTGGTCTGATGGCATCATCACACACCAGAGGGAAGTTCAGTTCTGCCAAATTTGCCGTTGACACCTTTCCCACGTTGCAGGTTCAAACGAAAATAAGGCTTGAGAAAGATAACGGCAAACTTGACAGACTTCACATCCATCGCTCATTTTACATTTAATGAGGGAACGACCCTGAGAGTTGGATGATGCTGCTGAGTCGGCTGTTTGAAAGAGCTTGCACGGCTTGCAAGGCTGGACACACCCGACACATTTCATCAAAGTCCTCCTGTGCGCCCCTCCCCCTGCCCCCCAAAATTTGTTTAAATGTTTTTTTGTTTCAGTTTCATCCGCAATTCAGTGTGGACACACAGGAAAGGGTCACTGTGAATGATTAGCTTGCGTTTGGCCCGTGACAACCTTACCCAGGCTTTGCAAGTTAAGTCCCGCCCTCGCCGTGTGTGTTACTCATTGCGGTTCGCTTTATCTCGACAGACAAAGTGGAAGAGATGACACACGCCCAGAAGACCTCACCTGTTGATATGAAGATCGCCACAATCAAACCACGCCCATCCAGTCGCTGTTTGGTTACGGCAGCTGATATGAATGTAAGTGATCAGAACTACATACACAGTATATAGTGACCTTACTTTGTGTCTTGTTTCAGTGTATTATATTCATTTTAAATGTGTTTAGATTGTTTTTGGCTGTATGTTTGCCACCTCCACAAATGAGGTAACACTTTACACTACACATAGTTTATAGAGTATTTGTAACATTTCAACAGCTTATTAGCTGAGATTCAACAACTATTTTCTGAATTTACACCACTGTGGTTAAGGTTTGGTTAGGTTTAGGCATAAAAAACATCTTGGTTAAGGTCCTTCAGTGTCACATATACTCTATAGATGTAAGGGATAATAACTAACGAGATGTTCATGAATAGACCTCTCGTCTGGCATTATCCCGCTTATACCATGGCCACTTGAAAAAGAAAAAAACAAGCTATAACTCCATTTCCCTGGTAACACCTGAGGGTTTGACTAATACCTTGAACAATAATTGCCATCCCATAAGGTTCTTATGCATTGCAAACAATGTTCACTACTCCAGTAAATAGAACAAACCTTAGATACCGCATGGCAACAGGAGATATTTCTAGTTCTCTCCTCTCATAGAGCGCTTTGGCGCAGCTATGAGCCAGAGAGCGCAGAATGCACTTCCTGTGGTTTCCTGTGTCAGCGATTAATGGACACCCAGCAGCCAATCAGAATCGAGTATTCACCCAGACTGTGGTATAAAATCTGTTAAACATTTAAAGACAAAGCAAAACTGTTAAAATGTTACAAGTACTCAGTCAGTTCTCTGTAGGCGGACTATCCGAATAAAGTGCTACTGCAGTTTGATTTGTAGGTTATTTTTAATGATAGATATCTGGAACTGTTAGTGTTGGTCTCCACAGCCAGCAGAGAGATAAAACTGTATTTCTGGGTAAATCATTAACAACATTCTGGTTTACAGTCCATGTATCATGACCGCCAGGGAGTAGCAGTGGTGCCACCCACTGTGCCAGGGGCCTTCCTGGGGATACCTGAGAAGGGCACTATGAAAAAGCAAAAGTCCATAGGTATGATGTATATACATTGTGTGTGTGTGTGTGTGTGAGCATTAACGATGGACA